GAACCCCCCCGGGGAAAGTTAAATGTCCTGATCCCCTATATTAGTCCCTGTTTTCAACGTAAGTGTTTCAGTTGAATTGAAACTTACGAGATTTCCCATCATGCATTGCGAAAGTTACGATTTCACCCGAGACAGTCGATGTTGCAGTTGAATTCCACCCTTCGTTTGTTTATTTGTGGCTTGAAGTTAGGCTCGCAGAAAATGCCGTTCATGGGTTAAATTTAGTAGGAATAACACAACCTGTGACGCGATAACTTCCCAACGCAACTTCCAGCGACAACTTCCAATAAACGCGATAACTTCCCTAATTCTTGCAACCATGAGTGATAGTCAACAGCCAATCACAATGCGAAAAGCCCATCATCTCCTTGTTGCCATTCTGTAGTAGAAACTATGGTTTAAAATTAGTTACCAATTCCTATGAAGATAGAGACCCTCATTAGGCCTGCTCATATCTCTTCTTTTCCGATTAAAGCCTTGCATGGAAGTTGAAGTGTTTTTTTATTGTGTGATTTATTATTGCAGAGCGTGCAGACTTTTGCTTTGTCATTCCAAATGAAGAGACATCTAAACTCGCGTAGTAAAATATAAACTGTCTGTCGGTCGAGTGGAGTATATTTTGAAACAGTTAAAGAAACCATTTAAAAAATTTTTAACAAATTTATTAAATAGTTGTGTTTTCTATCTTTATTTGTAAATATGAAGGAACGTGTAAAGGTACCTGTTGAAGATCCGAAGGATGTTAAAGAAAAAAAGGAAAAGAAGATCGAAGAAGAGAAAGAGCCAGATTTAGTAAATTTTCTTTAATTACTAAGAAACCATATTAGTTTAATAAGAAAACTTAGTCTAAAGTTAGATAAAAGTTTTTTTTTATTGATTTTCAAATCTGTGAACCATCAGTGAAAATGTTTTTAACCGGATCAATTAAAATTTTTTATAACATATCTCGTACTCTTGTATTTGATTTTAAAATTTGTTTTACTCTTTTTTGCATATGATTCATCCCACTAACCAAGAGAAGAAGTAAAGTTTTTGATAGAAGCTATCTTTAAGTGTTTTGTCGTTTTAAATAAAAAGGAAATGAAATGGTATTTAATTCATTGTATGCCTGTTATGTTGCTAATTTGAAAAACATTTGGGGGATTTCCGTATCGAAACTACTGTATTTGCAACTTTTTTAAGTAGTTTATAATGTTGTGTAGTGTGATACAAAAAAACAGTAGCTTAGCGGGATTTTCGGCAACTAACTGCCTTGTTAGTTTTATAGTTTTGTAATAACTATAACTGGCAACTACTTATAGGTTAGTTTCGTAAAGAACCAAGGCTCTAACACAACTAATTTTTCGAATTTGTCGGGTACAAATCTTCTCAAGACACAATAAAAATGCCCCTTTTGCTTCTGTTGAGTGTTAACATAAATAACTTATTTAGAATGATGTATGACTAATATTTAAACTTGCCATTATGAATATTTGATGATTTAGCATCTTTGGTAATACTTTCACACGTGAATGTGCACTTGAGGAACTTTGTTATTTCAATGAAAGGGTAACATATTTTCTATGCACTCATTTCTTGGACGGAATAAAAAAGCATTAAACACATTACAAAATTATAAGTATTTGATAAGTACAGCCTTAAACTAGCGTACATTCTCGAGAAAGGCATAAAAAGTTAAAGGTTAACTGAGCAAATTCGAAGAAGATATTTTCGAATCATAAACATGAATAAATATTTCTTAATAATTATTTATATTTAATGTAAACCAATTCAAATCATTTTCAAATCAATTCACTCAAACCAGTACAAAATCATTTTGAACATGGGTGTAAATTAGGTTGTTCAGCAAAGTTCTCCTTAAAATAGTGGAGTACTTACTGCACTTGATAAGTTGTTTGAAGTCACTACATTTAAAAATAGTGATGTAGTTAACAACATAACATAATAATTACAGTAAGCTACAAAAATAATGTAGTTTTTCCAACCACTGCACAAAATAATCATCAAGTTTTGTGATTTCTGGGCAGTAACCCTCGAGAAACTAAAAAAGAAAAGAAAAAAAATCCTAGATGGCCAACCCTGGGCAACTTCAAAGTTTTTTTTCTTTTGCAATTTTAAAATTTTTTTAGGTACGGACAGATACCAATACGAAATCTCCTGTCACTTATATTACACAAGAAATTAAATGTAAAAATAGGGTCAAATGAGGTAAAATAAGTATAAAATCAGAGTTTTTTTTTTCTTTTTAAAAGAAGGCTCTAAAACTTAACCATTAAATTAATTTTAGTGAAAATTTTGATGCATTTTTGATTCATATAGATTATAAGCCATAATTTATCTATTTTGTTAGATTCTTTTCTTACCGTAATGCATCCAAAAGAGCATGTTTTAATATCCCCATTTAACCCCTGGGCTAAATTGAGTATTGTTTTAAGGATACTATATATTTTACCAGAAAACATTTGCAAATATTGTTTTAGAAATAAAAAAGCTCTTAAATAAATGTATCATGATTATATTTAAAAAAAACAATTTCTAATAATATCTATACTGGTAATTTAAAATGTTTTTGCTATTTATAGCAGGCATGCATTTATATTGAATTTAGTCACTTTAAGGAAATTGTTATTGTTTTCCATGAAAGCTCAACTAAATCTTTAAAAATATGCTCATTAAGTTGTACCATTATGCTATTTCGGTAAATTTTTTTTTAATTGTATAATATGTCTGTTATATTGTTATTCTTACCTATCATTCTTCTCTTTAAAAGCTGAAATTTAAAGGAAACTTTATTTTCAGCATTAAAATTACCATGTAGGGCTATAATCAAACAAGTAAAAATTTTTTAGCCGTTACATTATAAAATATAAAGCATTAAACACTTACAAGAGCTAACACAGAAATAAAAAGTTATCATCATACAACACTTAACTAAGCTTAACCATATACCCAATTTACCCACCTCAGAAATCTATTCATAATAAGTGAAGAAATCAATTTTGAACCTCAGAAATCAATTTTGATATTTATTCTTAAATTTCTATGTAGATCAGTTCTTTAGATGTTTCTCTACTAGTTTGAACTATAAGTAAGACAGTTTTTAATGATATTAGAAGAAAGTTCATTGAAAGCTTAAACTAACATACTTTATAGGTTGATCATTAACAAATAGTTTGTAAACATAAATTTTTTTATCAGTTTCTAAAACTGAAATAAAAATGCTTGCCGCAATCCCAGTAAATGTCTATAAAACTATGAAACAAATTATTTCAACTTAATCAGATCTACATATCTTTTTTAAAAAATTTGCAAGTTTAAGATCCCTTTGGCAGTTGGTGCAAACAGGTACTGTGGAAATATCCCTTATTATTTCGATAAGAATTATACCATATTTATTATTGCAGTTAGTGTAAAAGTGTTCTTAAAAAATAAACCCAACTCTGCTACATCAATCACGACATATTTTCTGCTATTATTTTTTCATTATTTTTATGAATGTTCAAATTATATGCCTTTAGAGCGTGTTTTAAGATTGTCTTTCACTGTTGTATAAGAAATGTTTTTTTTTTATTTTAGCTAATATTTATATTTTTGTTTATAGTCTGACGAAGATAAAGCATTACAAGATGAACTGAATACATATATTCAAGTTCTTAATGTAAGTAGTTTTTAGATATTTTAGTTATAACATTACCAGTTGTCACAATGTTTCTCAACTTAATTACTTGTACTTCTAAATGTATATAAGAAAATGCTATGTTCATGAAGTTATATCTTGTTTGATTTCTAATTAAACTTTTTGAGTTTTAAAAAGTTATTTTCATGTGTTTATCTGTATATAACTTACAAATAATATCGAGGTTGTATTTTTATCACTAATTTAAATCTCATAATTTTTCTTTTTTTTAAAAAAAAAAAATCATTGATTCAAATCAACACATGGAAAATATATTTTTTTTTGTGAAATATTATTATAAATTAATTAAGCAAAATTATTGCAATTTGTCAGGGTTGGCAGGTTTTTGACATGTGACAGTTTTTGACAGTTTAAACCATGGTTTAAACCGTCACGTCAAAAACCTCACTGTCAAAAATGTCGAAAATGTCAAAAACCTATATTCATATGTGAAATTTAATTAATACATAAAATTTATATATTTTTTATAAAGGATAGTGTTTCTAAATATGTTCTAGAAAAAATAAATTTAAAATTTTGAAGAAACACTTATATTTTGAATAGTAACCAAAATCTTGTACTTTTGAAAGCTCACATCTTTTGTAATATTATGTATTCATTTTCATGTGTTATTGAAAATCTGCAGTGATATTATTAAGAAATTTATTTATAACCAAATTTAGTGTATAGTATAGATTATACTAAAAATTAGACATTTTTAAAGATAAACATTAGCAGTTTTGTACATTAGACATCTTTTAAAGAAAAATCTTTTTAATATTCTTTTAAATCTTCTTAATAATCTTTTTAACATAAGACAATACAAATTTAAGTGCTTTCTGTTAAATACACAGAGTAGTTAGTGTCGATTTACAGTATATTCAGCCTATTCATTTACTATGCTGAAAATTTAGTTTATCCAAATACTTGTGAATTTCATTTTGCTGAATACTATATACATAGTTTTGTTGAATATCTAAATATTCAGCTGTTGAATAATTACTTCTTGCTTTCAAGATATGCATTATTTGTATTCTTAATACAAGTGGAGAAAAAAAAATTAAGAGATAAAAATTGTTTTAAAATGATAAGTGTAATAATTATAAATAAATATAATAAACAATATGAATTATATTTATCATTATTCATAAATATAACTACTTTTAAATTCAAATTAACATACTGGATAATAAAGATATTCGGTATAACATTAAAAAAAATTTTTTATACACTTGTATCTTGTATCAAGTTTGTATTTATACAACATAACTTGTAAGTTCCTTATAAATATTAGTTATATGTTCCTTATATGTCAAAAATGCATAGTAATAAACTTTTAATTTTCTTAAGTATCAAAAAAAAAAAAAAAATTTTTTTAAGTATAAATATTTAAACAATTTTTGTGCAAAATTTTTCTGCACATGCATTTGAATATAAATTTCTGAGATTTTAAATCTGTTATTTTACCTTAATTTTAATTAAAAAATATTTTAAAACCTGCTGATTACCTATAGTATAATTAAATTTCAATATAATGCATGGCAACTGTTGGTAGTTTTGAAGTTTATATATTTTCTTGGCAAACTTCAGTTTTTGACATTTTTGACGGGTTTTTGACGGTTTAAACCAGTATTATACCCTTGTCATGTCAAAAACCACTTTTTGACGTCAAAAACCCAACCCTGCAATTTGTAAATAATAATTGGTTGCCAATTGTATTAAATTTTCATTAATTATGTAATTTTTTAAATAATTATATTAATTGCTAGCATGTTGTGAAACATATGAATATGAATCAATTAAATCCCTCTAACAACGATCTTCTGCAAAATTATGTTTGTTTATTTGCAAGTCAAATTGAATAGAGATTATTCTCATGTTTTTAGTTTCAACTTGCAGCTTTGTAGTACTTTATTTTGTTTGTTTGGATATTAGATATGTATTTAGACCTTTTACAGTTGTAATTATGTTGCTAAACTAAATTACTTTCAGGTACTCTATAAGGCAAATAAGTACATTTTAAATAACATATTTGAGAGTATGCATTTATGAAATTTAAAATTTTTTTATTATAAAGTTAAGTAAGTTTAAGATTTTCCTCATAAAGCACAGATTTGAGAGTTATAAGTCTACTTTAAGTGTAAAGGTATCATTATTTTTTTAACTTAATAAGTTCTAGTCATTATCAACTCTTATTTATTTATAAGATTTTATTTATTTTTTCATACAGGTTTTTATTCCTTTATTTTTTGATGTACCATTTATCTAAATTAAATGGCAGTAACTATATTTTCGAGCTAATAGCTATTGATTTTCTATGGATTTATATGATAACAGAAAGAGACAATTAACGTTGTAAATTTTTTAATTCTTAGTCACTGTCATTAATATTTAAGAATTTATGGTTAAAAAGCTTCATTATTTCCAAATAACCATTTGTTATGACCTCTATGTGATTATGTGTCATTGTTTTTTAACTCTTTAACAACTGACCCTCTTTGCATCCCGTGACAGTATTTATTTATTATTTTTTTTTGGAATTCTTTGTCACTGCTATAAATATTTATAGTTAAAAAATGCAATGATTTTAATAAATATTTGTTATGATGTATAAATTTAAATTTTTTTTCTCTTTTTGTTAATAGGAAGATAAGACAGAACTTTATGTTCCCACTTTGAATCAACTCCGCTCAAAAATTAGAGCATCCACCACATCTATGACTTCAGTTCCAAAGCCTTTGAAGTTTCTACGGCCTCATTATGACACGTTAAAGCAGCTGTATGAAAAATACCCAGATATTGATGCTAAGGTAATAAATATGAGATTGTTGTATTTAAAGTTATCTATTGAAACTAGAATATTTTGGGGATATTATAAAAACTACCTACTAAAAAATTATTTGAGTTATGTTTTTTTTCCTTCCAATTTTAAATACTGAATTTTTCTTTCTTTCTGAGAAACATACCAGTACCTGAAGAATGAAATCTAAGCTTTAATTACTGGATTAGGAATATTAAATGATTTTACATGGGGTTATAATTATCTACTTCTTATAATCTATTGTCAGTAAACCTGAAATCAACTTAACAGAATGAGAAGTCACTTAATTAAAGATTTCTAATACTGTTAATGATTTATTGTTCTAGACTCTTCATTTTTTTCTTACACCTCAAGTTATTTAAATTCATAATATTTTCTGCCACTAAAGTTTGTCATGGGAAAGTACATGAGTTCTATTCCTGATGGCTACTTAGCGACCATCTCACATAGCTTTAGGTCGATGAGTACCAACTAGTTTGGGGTAAGGAAAACAATTTTTGTGTAACATTGGCTCTTTTTCTCATTATTAACATCATACACTGGTCACAAAATTGTTAAAATTTAACCCGAATTCTTTTCTTGATTGATAACTTGCTATTGCAAGAATACAATATAATGTATAATATAAAATGTGAATATAAAAAAATTATCTAGCTAGACTGTAAAATACATATTGTTCAGCTTATGTTTTTTTTTTTTTTTGCTTTATTTCAATACCATTTTTTTTCCTTCAAACTACTTACTTTGTAATAGCTTACTTATTCATTTCTTTGCTTTCTCAATTGTGTGATTTAGTTCTCGTATATCTTATGCAGTTACTAATTATACAGTTTCTCATATACCTTTTTTTCATTTTAGAACTTTGTTGCTGATATTGTATCGATATTAGCTATGACTATGAGTGAACAAAGAGAATGTTTAAAATATCGTTTGTTAGGATCTCAAGAAGAAATTGGCTCCTGGGGTCATGAATATGTAAGGTGAGGATAAATTGTTAAAATTGTGTCTACTGTATTTTTTTTTTCATTATATATTCAGTCTAATTATTTATATTGTGTTGTGCCAAAGAAGATCCTCTCTTGTGTTTTTCAATTATATTTAATTTTAAAGGAAACAAATTTATTAGTTATGCTTTTAAGTTTACCTATACTGTAAGTTTTCCTCCTTTTTTTTTTTTTTTTTTTTTTTTTTTTTTNTTTTTTTTTTTTTTTTTTTTTTTTTTTTTTTTTTTGAACTTTGAAAATGAAAATGATTTTTTTCTGCCAATATTATAAAATTTTGCAGGAACTATTTTAGAATTTTTTTTATTTAAGGACCAGTTAATGGCATCTAAAATGTTTAAATTAAGAATTCTTATAAATTTATTGATACATCGTTACTTAAAATTCCTAGCTAAAAAAAGTTGTTGAATTCATTCTTGCAAGTTTTGTTTATTTTTTTGACAATAAAAGTGGATAAGTAAGGTGCACTTAAATATGTTACCAGATTAAAGTTTTATTATGAGAATTTTCTTATTTCTTCATTATGTAAAGAATTAAGAAAATTTTTTTGGGGGGTGTAAGAATGAAGCAGGTGTGCAAATTTTTATCTACTTTTTGAAAAGTTTTATTCAAAATTCTTGTGACACTTCTTAAGATGAAATTTATATGAAGTGTACATAATATCTGAAAAATTAACCGAGATTATATCAAGTCAACTTTTATAAGTTTGACTCAATATTTATTTTTACTTTTTTGTGCAAAACCATAAAAAAGTTTTTTTTTTTTCCTAAAATATTTCATTTAAAACTCTTTTTAACTTGCTCAATTTTATTGTTTTAAATATCATTTTTGTAGTCTTTAAAAAGAAATATGATCAAATGTTGCATATTTTTATTTCAGGCATTTGTCTGGAGAAATTGCTCAAGAGTGGAACAAATCTGATGATACTGCATACCAAAAGCAACTTTTAAATCTTGCTGGACAAATTATACCTTATCACATGGCTCATAATGCAGAAGCAGATGCTTGTGATCTTGCAATGGAAATAGAGCATCTTGATATGCTGGAACAATATGTTGATGAGGACGCTTTTCCCAGAGTTGCTTTATACTTGTCTAGGTAAACATTGGTTTACTTTTTATACTACATAAGCAATTTCCAGCTTCTTTCAATTACAATTCCTGTACATCTTTTAACTATACAGTTTTATTAATTTTTTTGTTTACTTTGCTATTGGGTTCCATCAAGAATATTACACATGCTTCAGTTAAATCAGACGAGTGATTATTTAAATATAGATGATAATATCTTTATATTAAGACAGGCTTTGGTGTTCAACTTTGCATTAAATTTTGTGCCCAAAAACTATATGACTCAGAAACTTGAAATTACAAAGATGTGTACAGGGATTATGATGGCTTAAGAAAAATTTATTAATAGCTCTAAATTATATTCGTTATATACTTGATTAACTATTAAGCTTGTAGTTAAAATACTGTATGTGTATATTTACAGTCTAATGAAATACAGAAACAGATTTGATGTGCTAAAAGGAGCATTTTTATTATGAGCGCAATGCAAGTTTTTATTCAAAATTCCAATTCATTTAGTTTATTCTAAAGTTAATTCACATTTTTTTGAAACTTTTGTTGTAAATTATGAAAATTATATATTTCATTAACAAAAAATATATAATATTAAAAAAATGTAATTCTATTAAAAAAATGATGAATGAAAAGCAACCACTGGTATTGGTGAGCAGAGCAAACAGAGGCTTTCCTCAGGAATAAAATTAAATTTATAGGATGCACTCATTTGATCAAAGTAAATTTATATGATTTATTAACATTTGTGCATCATAAATTGTGTATTGGCAACTTAGTTTTCACAAATTTTTTAAGTTCAATGTTAAGGTTTTAAGTTTTATAAATAACTTGAATGCAATAAAAAAATTTTTCAGCTGTGTGCCTTATGTGTCAGAGCCTGAAAACACAAATCTCTTGAAATGTGCCTTACAGCTTTACAGGAAGTTTAAACGTTATCCAGAAGCTCTGCGAGTAGCCATGCAATTGAATGATATGAAGTTGATTTCAGAGATATTTTTAACCTGCCCTGATAGGTAAAAAGCTAATTCTTGTATATTTATTGCTTTAATATTAAGATTTTTTTATCATTTTGTTTTTATTGTGTATATTTGATTACCTTTATCAGACATGTCTCTTTCAAATTTTACTGTTACATGGATACATGCATATGGTTAGATTCTACATTTAAAACTTTTACAAACCAAACTCTACTTTTCTGTCATGACTTATTTCCAAAATTACTTCTTTGTTTTGATGTACAGTGTGCAAAAAGATGGACAAAAAAATTTTTGTTTTAACGATTGGATTTTCATGCACTAGAATCAATCTTAATAGTTTAAGAGGCTGACCTTAAATATGCTAATTAAATAGTGATATTTTGAGTCACGAAAGCAGACACAAAAGTGTACTTTCTCTGAATGAACATGCATTTTTTCCACCCTGACTCTCAAAATATAGGGTGTAACCGCAATATATGAAATATATTTTCACTTGTTTGGTTTGATGAGCGCTCAAAAGGTTGAACCCCTTAATATTAATTTTCACATTTCGTCATGTCTCGAAAGCTTTTTAAGTTATTTGAAAAATTTTTGCACCCAATTATGAAATTCATTTATTCAAAGATAATTCCATGCAAAAATGATTTTTTTTTTTTATAATTATTTATTATTTTATTTAATAATAGTTATTTTGAATTGTAAGCTTTACTAATTTTTACATAATTTTAAAGAATGTAATTTTTTATGGCAAAATACAAAATTAGAATTAAATCGGTCAAACAGTTCTCAAAAATATCAAATTTTGAAAAAGTCAGATAATTAGAAGCCTTATTACCTAGTTTAGAATTATGTTTGAAAGGTAGCTACCTCATTTAATGGTTGAATTCTAACAGGGATGAGATTTTTCCGCTTTTTA